ACATGCTCGCTTTCTACACATTCATCTTTCAGTCCAAGTTATGATGCAGGAATGTTCACCTTTCCCGGATTAAGTTTGGAGCTATGGTTTGGAGCAGTGAGGTACGAGGATGTGTGCACATACACGCATAAGGAAAGAGAGAGCGCAAGTGTCACACACACACACACACACACACACACACACACGTGCGCGCGGTCTCTCCGTACAACACAAACAGTGGCAAAGTTTTTTTTTTGTTTTTTTTTTTAAATGCGTGATTTTGAACAGATGTAAACAATGCCAGGAGGCTTAAAAGTATAGACGTGATACCAGCTAAATTTAATTATTGTACTAAATTGCAGAAAAATAGGCTGCAGTACGTACTATGCACACAACTGATGGAGTCCTGCACTTTCCGTCTTTAACGACACGTAAACAAACTGCGCATACCACAGGAACGGTATAACGGAAAATTTTAGTGGTTTTGAAACCGTGACTTGTCCAAACCGAATGCCACACCTGTGAGGTGGATGGATTATCTCGGCAAAGGAGAAGTGCTCACTAACACAGATTTAGACAGATTTGTGAACAATATTTGAGAGAAATAGGCCTTTTGTGTACATAGAAAAAGTCTTAGATCTTTGAGTTCAGCTCAATGAAAATGGGGGCAAAAATAAAAGTGTTGCGTTTATAATTTTGTTCAGTGTATATTGCGATATGAGAAAAAAATAGGGCTGGGTTTTAGGCAAGTTGGAGCTAAACTCTGCAGGACACCGGCCCTTCAGGACTGAGTTTGGACACCCCTGACCTAAACAATAAGCAACTGTGTTTACAAGGATACTTGCAGAGACATGCATTTTGACATAATTTCGTGTGTATAGTCATTTAAAGGCACAATATGTAAGATTTTTTTATTAGTTATCGTCCCATGCCTAGTCTCGACCTGACTGCAGTTCGTCGTCGTAACGAACTTGAGTGGGCAAATGCAAATGCTCACATTCGATGGCGTTTGGCACTTTGGAGAGGTGTTCTCCTCACGGATGAATCCCGGTTTTTACTGTACAGGGCAGATGGCAGACAGCGTGTATGGCGTCGTGTGTGTGAGCGGTTTTCTGATGTCAACGTTGTGGATCGAGTGGCCCATGGTGGCGGTGGGGTTATGGTATGGGCAGGCGTATGTTATGGACAAC